TCTTTCCCTGCTAGGTAACAGTTAAAGCAGGGAGTCACATCAACCGCTGCAGTAAGGCTGAACTTCTGGCTTTTGGCAAGCTTGGTAATTCCCTTAAAACCGCCTGGCACCATCAGTAATCTGTGCAGGATACACCTATTTCTTTTCTTTCCGTTTAGCTTAGCGGAATTGCCTCTGACAGCACAAATCAGATCTGACAAATGGGGAGCGTTTTACCTTATAACCGCGAACATGGAATTGAAGTTCTTGCATTCTCGACAGTGGAGGGCAATTTTAATGAAATGCTTAATAATCTTCATCCTTTTGAGTTGGTTGGGCTCTGCTAAAATCTCCATGGCAACCCAGAACGTCTCTTGGTTTATGACATCCTCAAACTGTTTCAGGTGAGCGTTTCCTGTTTTGGAGTCCAGCTTATAAAGGTCATCGATGTATTCTGTAGGCTCAATATTGCGAAATAATTCAAAGTCTCTCATGGAAAGCTGAGTGGCGACCTCAATGGTGCTCAGCTGTAGGAGGGAAATTTGGCTTTCTCTCAGTAGCTCTTGAGCATCCTCATCTGAGCATAAGGTCTCTGTCTCCATATTGTTTTTTAGGTAATACCTAAAGAATAATCGAGTTACGATAAAACATGAGAGATGCTCTTAGAGGGTTTATGAACACAAAGACATTGAACTGTACCAATCAACGCGGACATTACCGACACCGCAGGGGTGTTTACGTGCAAGCATTTTCTCGTTACTGTTGACAACCCAGCATAAGAGGCAAAAACAGAGGCAAGAAGGGACAGCGTAACCTTGTACTTTAGCTGGTATAAAACACCATCATTACCGAAGTAAAAAGACATTTCAAAAGCTGTTTTAATCTGCCTCTTTGCTAATATCTTCTGTACTGTACTCTGTAATATGCTGTAGCTTTCACCTTCAGAAAAAGGTCAGTTACTTTTCCATTTGTAAATTCAGCAGTGAAATAACATTTTAAATACACATTAGTCCTGAGAAATCTCTTGTTAATGTATTTCTGCATTTCGTACACAAATTTAACGTGCTTTCTTACATAAATTTAGTGTGGCATATTAGTATTTACACGAAGCACATAGTATTCAGGAAATGAAAATGTATCTGGAAAATTCATTTCCATGGTCCCAAGCAGATCACTTTCAGATATACAAAAGTTTACTCCTCATAAATTCCCTCTGTTGCCTAGCAAAGAAGACTGAAGAATTTTTTACTTAATAAACCTTCTTCTGGTATGGATCAGGTCATCAGATAAGACTGAAGCACTTAACATTTCAGAAACATTCATAACCGTTTACATAAAATGGAAGAATTTATCTCAGGTTAGTATCAGTTCATTGCAACATGACATCACTGAGAAAGAAATTAATTGTATGCTTTAATCCTGAAGTACATGTGGAAAGCGTCGGAACAAATATAACTTTTCTTCTTAAGTGTAAGCCACTATATACGTTATCCTGATCTGCTGAATTTACTTGTCTTCAGGCAAGCTTGCTGTAGATTTGGGGAGGGGTTTTTTGGGTGCAGAAGAGGAAGGTAAAACAAGGAAGAAAAGAGGAGAGGGAAGTGTAAGTTACTGACATTTACTTGCTTGTTCTTCTAACAGACATCCATTTAGTTTAATCAAAACATCCCTTCCCAATATTTGTTTCGGATGTTTCACCCCTAAAAGGCAAATAAATCCAAAGCGAAATCGCAACAAGGGCCCATTTACCGTCCATTGAGTTGAATCCTGTCGGCCAATTTTGAGAACTGATCTGGGAGTCTCCGTTGCTTGATGACTCCCTCGGGGCTGACGGACACTTCGCAGAGCGAGTAGGTCTCCGGGGCTCCCGTCAAGTTGAACTCGTGGACGGCGTGACTCACAACCTCTTTTGCTGTAGTGTCTTTGCTGATGATAATGTAACAACTCTGCTGATCTGCTTTGAAAACTCTTATTACTTGATCCGGAATATCTAAAATAACAGAATAGTGCCTTTAATGCATGAAGTTACTTGACCTTATGTCTTTTCAAGGGATGTTTACTGTGTCATTTGATAGCCAGAAAACAAAAAGCAGCTAGCAAGAAAAAAAAGCCGTGCTGGACTTGATAAATATTCATTAAAATATTCAGTCATTTCCTTCAACTTTCAGAGAAGGGGAAAAAAAAAAAAAAAAAAAGAGGACTGTCCTCTGCGTTTCCACAACTCAATTACTTTATCATCCCATGACCACAATCAAAGTACAAGACATCTAGATATATTACTAAGCTGTACAGCGTCCTTCCCAGCATGTCTCAAAAACTTCGGCAGCATCATTCCTTCTTTGGCTCTTTTGTACAAACTTGGCGAGAGCCAGAATCCAGGTGCGTGCCAGGTGCCCTTCCCGGGGACAGGAAGCCATCGAGCACGCGTGGACGGGCTGCGAGTGGGAGGACGTGAAGAGGAAAAGAGATTTGGTTGCTCCCATAACTAGCTGTGAACTTTTACAATCCCTCTCTCGCCCCGAAGGAACTAAGCTGCTGCCAGCAGTTAATTCTTTGGCTAGCGTGCTTATTCATAGCACATTTTATGTATTATAAATGCATTAGAGAACAGCTTTATCTGAGGCAGCCTACAGCAGGAAATAAATATCTAAAGAAACACACGTTTAGTCTACAGCTTGATGACTGGAAATAATTTGCTGCATTAGTTATTACAGAAGGCTTGATTTTCAAAGTAAAACTGATTGGAAAAAAAGAAATATCAAGAGTCAGAGCGCACGCTAATTTAAAACAGGGAAGCACGGTTTTCCCCCTCCCTAAACCCTGAAGACCAAAATTTCACAAGTTTTCCACAGACCTGGGAAGGTGGGAAGCTCTCGCTGAGCCCTCAGCCACGTCTTCAGAGCCTGCAGCTATTCAAAACCCACGCCAGAGGCAGATGTGCCATTAACTCCTGCATCAGGGATTCCCAGTGGGCTGTTATTACAGCGACAGCCTCCAAAACAGCCCTTCGCTCCTCTCACTGTTAGCTGACCAGCCTTTAACAACCTCAGCCATACTGCCAAATCCATGGATTGAGGTACGCGACCTGCCATCCGCGGGGAGCCTCCGGATCGCCGGGCAGGGTGGCGAGTGCCGCGGAGAGGACTGACCAGGCACCCCTCTGCCCGAGGGGAATCAGCACGTCTGCCAGGCAAATCATCTGTCCTGGTTTCGGCTGGGATAGAGTTAATTTTCTTCCCAGTAGCAGGCACAGTGCTGTGGTTTGGATTTAGGATGAGCAGAATGCTGATCACACGCTGATGGTTTAGTTGTTGCTCAGTGCTGCTCATGCCAGTCAAGGACTTTGCAGCTTCCCATGCTCTGCCAGGGGCACAAGGAGCTGGGAGGGGGCACAGCCAGGAGAGTTGATCCCAACTGCCCAAGGGCCATTCCATGCCATACGGCGTCATGGGCAGTATGGAAACTGGGGGGGTTGGCCGGGGAGCAGCGATCGCTGCTGGGAACTGGCTGGGCATCGGTCGGCGGGTGGTGAGCAATTGCATTGGGCAGCACTTGCTTTGGATATTATTATTGTTATCATTTTCTTATATTGTTATTATTATCATTACTATTTTACTTTATTTCAATGATTAAACTGTTCTTATCTCAGCCCAGGAGTGTTTCTCACTCTCACTCCTCCGATTCTCTCCCCATCCCACGGGGCAGGGGCAGCGAGCGGCTGCGTGGTGCTGAGCTGCTGCCTGGGGCTGAACCCCGCCATCATCCTGCTGCGCTGTGCATCGAGGTCCTCCCAGCAGCAGCTCTCTGAGCACTGAGTTCTACATGCTGCTTACCCCATCGCCTATACATTAATTTTTCTCTCTCAAAATCCACTGCTTAAGGAAGAAAGGAAGATCTCTTTCAATGGGACAGTGACCTTGGGGTTACTTTTTCTTGCCTCAGAACTCAATGGTGTTATAGGGGGCAAGTAGCAGGAATTTCGGGGCAAAAAATAAGCAGGTAATTTACGATGCATCATCAAAAGTTTCCACCTATCGGAGAAAAGAAAGCCTCAACATCAGCCATAAATAAATTGGAAGATGGGAGGAAACAGGGTGTTAAAAAAAAAAAATCTGATTGAAAACTAGTTCTACTAACAGTTCCATTATTATGACTATCACATTACTAGAATAGTCCCATTAATACTAGGGGACTAGTTGAATTTGAAAAGCTCCACACATACATGAATGGGGGCAATAAAAGCAAAAACCAAATATTATGTACTTATTTCAGAGTAAAAGTGGTGAAAATGATACATTGAATTATTTGGGAAATGCCTGCATTCATAAAAATTGTTATAAAATCAACAGAAGAGGCAAACATCTACACCTTTGTATCAACATACCTAAAAATCAGAATACACTCAAGGTACGAAACCAAAAACTGAAATGTAATTTGGGGGTGCAAAAAAAGAAAAAGAGGAAAAAAAAAAAAGAATCACCATGCAACCAAAACTTAGTGTAATTTGTGGCAGGTGAGAGAAACTTATATTAGAAGCACATGTCTGTCTTCACAGTCTTTGCTTTTAAGCAGGTAAACATTAACAAAAAAATCTTTTCTTATGCATTACTCAGCTTGTGTTGACAATATAAAACACATTCCAAGTTTGCATGCACACAATTTGAGTCATACAGAGGCCAACAGAAGAACAAACTGCATCTCAAACTACGTTATCATCTAAAACTTCAGCTTCTATAAAAGGGATGTAAGCAGCTTCATTCCTTTAAAGCAAGGTCACAGAGAAGCAAAGTTACTTGCCAAAGATCGTTCGGTGTCGGTGGCAGAAATGGGGCTAAACTGCAGCTCTCGGCCTCAGTACAGCACCGTGCCCCTAAACAGAGTCTGTGGATTTGTTTTATTGAAGGGAAGATTACAGGGCACAGGCCTATCTAATGCCCTAACAGTAACAACTATGTCAATGCAACGTATGAAAGTGTTTAGGTTAACAGGCAAGCCATGCAATATTAAGGTCTAGAGGATGCTATACATCAGGATACTTACAGTAAAACCCAACAGCTGCAGGCAGGAAAAAAAGAAAAGAAAAAAAAAACTGTGTCAACACCAAATCAAGATTTAGATGTTTACAAAACTTATCAAGTGCATGTAGTACGCTGTCAGAAATATTTTGCTTTTCTCTGCCATTCAAGAATGACAGCATATTTGTTATAGTAAACAAAATAAAGGTAAGAAGGACCAGTTATCAGCATTTCATATTATGCAGTAACTTGTACAGTATTAAATGAAGATTCTTAGAGGACACGCGTGTAGCTCTCATGCAGACAGCAAGAACCTGGATTTGCAGCAAAAAGGGAACTTATTGGCTATGCGTGTTCATGCACTTGATAGGATATATCTGCGTACATCCCTTTCAAAGGGGAAATCTGCAAGTTTACATAAACTTAAGCCATAGCCGCAAGGCACTGCACAGAATATGTAATTATGCACAGAACTTACACTTGAGATGGGGAAACAAGATTCTGACTTGAGGTGTTTACAGGCAGCTGCATGTAACAACAAACATCTGCAGCCACCCCATAAACTGTATCCCTACAGTAACAGCAGTGAAAGCATAGACTCTGAATCTCAAAACATTTCTCAGTTTTTCAGACGTACAGTTGAATATACGTAACGTTCGTAAAACACTACACGTTAATACCACTGTGTCGGTACCATGGCAGCCCTGCTCTATCCAGAATACTGCTGGAAATATATATTCAAAGATGGTGGCTGGACAGGTCAAAGTCACCGGGAGTACTGGCATACGGGAAGAGATGACAAAGAGAAGGGTGCAGACAAGGATAATCTGCTTCCAGCAGAGCTCTGGTAAACTCCAGTAAATCAAAGACTCTCAGAGGTGGCATTTCTTTGTAAAAACAAGCTAAGTGTCACGTTACAAAAAAGGAGGCAAGAGAGGTTCAGGCAGCCTGGATTTTCAGCGAATCCCCAAGTTGGGACCTGTTAGGGCCACAGGACAAACAGGTAACTGCACTTGGCATGTCTGATGCTGGGAGAAATGTCATTTTCCCCCTGAACCAGCTGCCTTGTAATCATCCTGTAAGTCAAGCTAATGCTGGTGTTTTACCTGAGGGATTAGAGAAATCCAGAATGCTCGTTGTAGGCTGCAACAGGTCAGGGCTACTGGACGAGAGCGTTCCCGGAATGGGCATGATGGCCAGGCTGTGCCTGCACTGCCGCGTCCCCACAATGCTGTCGTCCTGCGACTGGCTCACGCTACCATCGCTGCAACACAATTTTGTTTCAGTTACGTGCATTAAGCTCCTTCTATTCACCTCGGGATGAATGGAAGTAAGAAAAATAATGGCACTCAGATGTTTTAATTACACGTTGTAGACAGGCTTTCGAAACAAGAACGGAGGTAAATTATATTTGAAAGTGTTCACTGGGAGAGAAAAACATTTTGGTCTTGTTCTGCATCTATGGGTCAGATTTGCTGCATTGTTTTAAAAACATAAGCAACATGGACGTAACGACAGGAGATACTAAGCAACTAAAATATCACAACTTACTAAGGAACAATTACTTTCTGAGCAGAAGAGCCTGACAAACCTGAACAGCTTTGGAGGCAAGATGCTGAATCGGGTCTTGTCTAAAATTTTCCTGATTCTGTTTCTCCCACCAGATACAGTGTTTGCTTTCATTTTCTTGTTTCCTTTTTCGCGGGGAAACATCTGTTCCACATCTCCAGGCATATCAGGGATGGAATAACGGTTGTTTTTCTTTTCTGCAATTTTTGGAATATGTGGAATTCCATTCTTCTCCTGTCCTATCCTGCAGAGCAGCTCCTTAAACACTGTAAGAGAAGATACAATCATTGTGATTTGCCTTTGCACACTTAAAGCTTCACAGTGAATTCTTTCCCCTCAAACATTTTGCTTCCCACACCCCTGCAGAAAAAGTGAACCGAAGAATTACAAACCAGGCAATACACTGCATTTTACTTTTGATTCTAAGAGTGCAGGTCTTTTCCCATTTAAGTTTTGCTTTTCATTACCACTGCAGAAAGAGTAACCCCTAAACGCTGAATAAAAACGATCAAACATTCTGCATAGCAGAGTTCTCCTAACTACTTTTGAAATTAGCACATATCACAGCAAATTGAACTGACCTAGTCTACCGTTACCGGCCAGGTAACAAGGCATCACTGCATTCACGGCAATCAGCTCTATGTATTTATTGACTTTTTTGTCTGCATCTTTTAGGTAACGGAGTGCAGATGCTTCCTCAAGAATAACTGCAAGACATACTGGTATTTTCCAAAACTGCCTTTGTTGGCTTTTAGTAATACTACTGAACAGAAGCTGCAATTTCCTATTGCATTTATCAAACTAAGCCAGACTGTTACCAACATTGACATTCCCAAAGATATAATTCCGTGGAAAAGATAGTATTCATGTTCTTTGTGTTTCTTCCCACATATAAAAGGTGAAAAGAGATTGTTCAAATTGGTTTATCAATACAGATTATTTTTTCTTAAATATCTTTTTAAAATTTTTTTATATCTTTTTAAATCACTCAAGTCAGAAATTCAGTATTTTCTGTCGAAAACATGATGATAGTGGGAAAATGAAGAACTGTACAGAGCGCATTTCTCAGATTGTCCGTATGAGCAAGACAGCCAGGACTTTCTGTATAAAAACTCCCAGCCAAATCGCCTATTTCTAATTAGGTAACAAAATTTAAGGCTACAAGCCTTCACAGCATAGATTCAAACATAAGAATTGCTCATTGTCAGCACCAGGCACTTAGCACTCAATGAGAAAGACAAGATAATAAGTATCACTGTTGAGAAAATGCTTCAAGACATGAATTCATTAAAATGTATCAGGGACATCACCCTGAAATTATATTGGCTAGCAGGAAGAGAAGAGGTTAGAATCCACTCGTAAATGTATGTCGCTTACATTTATAATACAAACGAACAATCTATCACTGCCTCAGTTACAGTTATGCTTTACGTCATTTCACGTTCGTCTGGACCACCGGTCACCACGGTTGTTTCATGCTTTTTTGGAATTACAGACTCACAGAGTCGTTTAGCCTGTCCAGATCCCTCTGTAGAGCCTTCCTACCCTGCGGCAGATCAACGCTTCTGCCCAACTTGGTGTTGTCTGCAAACTTAGTGAGGGTGCGCTCGATCCCCTCGTCCAGATCATTGATAAAGATACTAAACAGACCTGGCCCCAGCTCTTGCCCATCCCTTCTGAAGAGCGTACAGCCATCCACTGCAGCACTCCAGCTGTGCAAGCCATCCCACCGTGTTTCCGTGATGGCAACTATATCATAGTTTTCCTACCATGCTAATAAAGCAACTGCTAGGATCTTGAAATTTTTTTACCTGCACAGTGATAAACAGAAAATAATCATCGGAAAGAAAATCAATAGTGAACAAGGGCAGCTAACTGGAGGAGGAAAATAAGAAAAGGAAACCTTCTGGTCTCAGATACAACTGCAGAGGAAGGAGCTATCCTGTGCACAGCCTCCTTCTTTCTGTAGCTATGGTTATTCTGTTGCCTGAACAGGATTATGGAAAAAGAACAGATGGTTTGACTGAGATTTTAAAGAGGTATTTATGTGTTTATATTCACATTGACAATTAAAAGCCAACATTTAGATGTCATGCCGCTTTTTATAACCCCTTTTCCATTTTAGATGTAAAAGCAATTTATCCTATCATTCTTACAGCCATTGTAAAAAGTTTTATGGAAGCCCAGTTTTACATTTTTGCTGTTTCTTGGCAAAAATATTTTGGCCCAGATCCCTTGGCTCTGTTTCAGCCATATCGCATGAAGGGACACTAAAGCCGCTTAAACAGTCATTTGAGGATTTCTCAGGGAGTAAAGAGCTGGCTATGCTGGCTTTGTGCCACTCAACATGCAGCCCTTGGCACACAAGGACTTATCTGAGCAAATGGAGGCACAACAAGGGGACCTCCGCACAACTTTTCACTCCTAGAGCAACTTAGGGGGAAAAAAAAAAAAAGAAAAGGTGGAAACTTATTGCACTTCTAAAGCCAGAAAGACCGGAGTTTTTCTTCAGATACACAAAAATACATCATCTATAAAGTCTACTCACCAAAAATGTTTGTTTTTACAGTAATGGAGAGATGAGTGTTGTTCCTTAAGATTTCCAGAGCTTTTACAAAGGTAATGTTCTCAAAATTCTGTCCATTTACTTCCATTATCTTTAAGAAGAAATAAAAATTGAACTATTAGGAGAACAACTGTTTACAACGGAGTTACAAATACAAAGGTGACAACACAGGCACAGTAAGAACTTTCCAGAAGTTATCATATCATCTCCACAGCAGTTGCAGAATGAAAACATTCCTTGTGAAATAACTATTTTCATCATGTCACTGAAGTTATATCCTGTAAACAAGCCAGGACCTCCATTTCTTCCTGACAAATGCTTTAACCAAATTTATTTTCTGTGATAACATGACATTCTTGCAATTAGGAACTGCACCCGAATAAAAAACGGTGGATCATGAACCATAGAACTGATACGACATCAAAGGCCAGATCTTCACCTGGTGTGAACTGTCGTTGCTCCACCAGCCTCAGTAAACTGGGATGGTTTACACTAGGTGGGAATCAATCCAACACAACAATGTGATAGCTTCAACTCAACCGTATCTCCGATCAGAAAGTTTCCTAGAATAACCACAATTTGGTTTCTTTTCCCATTCTGTTTTTGAAATATTTAAATATTTTAAATATTTTGAAAACTATTTAATAGAAACCCATTTACCACGTGGAAACTGAAGCTGAACTGTGTGTTCACAATAGAATACTAACCAGTTGTTCGCTTGTAATAAACAGAGTATTCTTTTTGTTGGGAACACTACAGTGGTTGAACCAGAATTTTTTTAAATAAAATAAGAGGTGGATATTTTAAGTTAACTTTATTCTTTTTACCTGATCACCACGCTTGAGTCCAGCTTCTGCTGCTTTACTGCCCATTTCCACAGTCTCTACAAAAATACCGAATCCCTTGTCGCTTCCTCCAAGGAGACTGAAAAAGAGTGGTGAATCTCTAGAAGGTTTTTGCAGGGTAATTTGTCTCCATTTTGCTTTGGCAGCACAGGCAATATTCAACAATCTGAGGTGTCCTTTCATTTTCTGTAACACAGAAGACACAAAATGGAATGCAATGTTCCTTTTCCTAGAAATGGAAAAACAGTTGTGAAAAAAACCCAAGTGCCAGAAAAAGGACTTATGATGCCAGGTATCCAAGTCTTACTAAATAAACCTTGTCCTCTTTTGCAGTAATGCAAAAACACATAAATGAGTGTCATATGTACTATTTTATATGGGCTTTACATCTAAATATATGTTTAACAACAAATATGTCTACGTTAAAAGCCATTTACTGACTGTTAAGACTTTTAAACTACGTGTTAGCCACTGGTAACACACTGGAAAATGAAAGTATGTAACACTAGAAAGTATGACAATCTTTCTTCTTTGTTCCTACCGTATCTTCCAAGTTCTTTTCAAATTCTTCCAGGAATCGTGTCATAGCAGGATCTCCTTCAAAGTCATTAAAATGATTGTTTACCCACAGTAAGACCACTCTGGTAACCTGTGGGGAAAAAAAAAAAAAACGTATTTATAAAGGTACCTATGATTCTTCTCCTATAGGCTTTAATCAATAATCAAAGAAGAATACGAGGACATGGCAGAATAACATACGACAGACTACTGCACCTGTTAAATAGAAGCAGAAGACATTTACACTTGAAATCATCTTCTCTTTTCCTTTATTTCTGGAAACTAATGAAAAATAAAAACCCAAACATTTTTGTACCTAACTGGCTATATCACCCGGTACTTACTGGTGCACAAATCCATCTTCAGCTAACTCTTCCTTATGCTATTTATAAAATTTATCTTTTTAAAGCATACTAATGATCTCCTTAGAGAAAGTTATAGGAAGTATGTTGTGATAATAAAAAGCTCTCTTTTAAGACCTTTCAGTTAAATCTTCAGGTTGCTTTTGTACGCACTAGAGTTACAGAATCATCAAATCATTCAGGTTGGAAAAGACCTTTAAGATCATCCAGTCCAACCATTATCCCGACACTACCAAGTCCACATTAAACCAATTAAGGGGAGAGTCATAATTCATTTCATGTTTCCT